ACCACCATGATGGCCTTGATATTTTAGCCAGGGCCACCCCCCAAGATGTCCATTGGTTCCCCTCGTCACTTCCTCCAGGTGTGTGTTCAAATGGTCCCTTCCTTAGTAAGAGAGACCCTGACACACACCCCTGTTTCATCGGCACCCCGGCTTCCTCCCCAGTCTTTCTCACCCTGTTCTAACTTTCCCTCTCCTCCCAGCCACACATCATCACTTCCAGATACAGTTAACTCAGTGAGTTCATCTTTCTATCTTCCCTGCCTAGAATGGAAGCTCTGAGAAAACAGGGGTGGCTGTCTTTATTCACTGGTGTATCCTGAACACAAAACCTGCCATATAATAGGGGCTCGGCAAAGGCAAGGGTAAGGGGGAAAAAATGAGAACCAAGACCTGTCCTGTAACGGTAGAAGATCCCAATGATGAATGTAACTGTACTGTACTCCTAAAATGTACCAATAAACTCAATAAGACAGAAAATAGGGGCTCAGCAGGAGAAAGTCTCAGCTTGCTGTTTGTCCATCTTTTTATTTTATTTTATTTTATTGAAACAAGCTCTCACTATGGAGTCCAGGCTGGCCTTGAGCTCACTGTGCAGCCCAGGCTGACCATGAATTCACATTGATCCTCCTGCCTCAGCCTCCCGAGAGCTGGGATTGCAGCTGTGCACCACTAAGCCTAGGTGTTTGTCCATCTGCAACCTCTCCCTAGCAACTTTCTTTTAAAATACAGATTTCTGAGCAAATAAATGAGTATGAGCTTTAAGTCATCTGCTTTGATGACAATGGGAACAGCTCTGCAGTGTAGAGCCATAGGCAGGTGTCTTAGTTCTGTTTTTCTCATTGCTGAGACAAAAGACCTGTCGCCCAAAGGTAAGGGAAAAAGGTTTGTTTTGCTTACAGTTTTTAGAGGTTTCAGTCCGTAATCGGCTGGCTGCTGGCAGTTAGACATCGCAGAGGAGAAACAGTTATGGTGGACAGAAATTAGCAAAGCAACAAGGGCCAACCACAGCCCTCTCTGCCCCTTATATCTTATCCAGGCTGCTCAGGGTGGGTAGCACTCACACCCTTAATCCCAGTGCCCTTGAGCCTTACATTGCTCATGAATCAATCCCAGCATCCCACACTAGGTCTGCCCACCTCTGAAGAAGCCCCACCTAGGACTGTATGAGTCTTTGGGGGGGACAGCGAGATGTGAGCCACATCAGGTGACCTTTCCTGATGCAGAATGTCCCAACAACCTCGTTTGCACACGGACGCCTCCTGAGGAGGTTTTAAAACACGCCGGTGAGCTCTGGGAGGCTGAGGCAGGAGGACAGCAAGTTTGAGGCCAGCCTGTGCAATTTAGGACATACTTTGGTGGTGGCGTCCCCTTGGGTTGGATACCAAGTCCAGCAAAAAAAAAAAAAGAAATAAAGAAAGAGAAAGAAAAAGGAAAGAACGGAAGGGAGAGAGGGAGGGAGAGTAGGAGATTGTTTTACTTTTATTAGCCCAGGGTGGGAGGAGAGCCAGCTCCTTCTTTTCTCTTTGAAGAACCACTACCCTGCAGTTAATGAGGCTTGTGTTACTGTATCTACTTTGGGGACCCATGACTGCTAAGTTCCTCAGCTTGAGACACAATGTTTCCTCTTGTATCCATGTGAGCAGAGGGAGTAGATTCAAAGAAAAAGTTACAGCGACTTGGGGATTTGGCAGAAGGCACAATGCCTCGTGTTCAGTCTACTTTACCTGTATTTTACCTGTTATCCCAATGTCGCAAGCCAGGGGATTGAGACGTAGTGGGGTCATAACTGACACAAGGTCTCACAGCTCCCAAAAAATATTTTGGATGTTTGTGGCTTGGCGTCAGATCTGTAACTGATCCACTGCTACGCTAAGTCTCTATCGCCCTCTGCTGGGACAATTTGTTTGCACCCAAGAAAGGGGCTCTCCCCGCTCCCCCACCCCCTTGATAACCCCGGGAATACTTGCTCTACCACTGAGCCGTATCCCCTGCTCTTTTTATTTGTTTATTTATTTACTTATTTATTTATTTTTATTTTGAGACAGGGCCTCACTAGATTGCCCAGGCAGAACTTGAATTTGTGACCCTCCTGCCTCAGCCTCCCACAGTACTGGGATTACATGAGCGTGCCTCTGCACCCGGCGGGATGTAACACATCTTCCCTTCCGTTTCACCTCCTAGGTGATTCAGCCCTTCAGGATATCTTTTGGAATCCTCTTTTTGGCCTCTAGTGTGTTCTGTCTCTCTTAGCTTTCAGTGCCAGTCACAAACACATACAAACCACCCACCATCACGGTGCAGCCCAAGCTGGAGCAGCAGACCCAGGGGCGGCCAGTTGAGACCCAACTCCGATGAACTGCAGGGTGGAGCAGACCTTCAATGTCATACTGAGAAGTTTGGCCCTTGCCCCACAGCAATGGGAAGCCATGAATGGTTTTGGAGCAGACCAAAATATATAAAAGCTAAATGTGTACTGAGAAAAGTCCGAACAGTGAACATGTGCAATTTCTTCTCTCCTAACACCATTTCTTTTCTCTGATTTGGGGACTTCCTGCCCAGGGCCAGTGTGAACCCTTAAGTCATCTCTAAATGATTTTTTCTTTCAGTAATTGGGATTCAACCCAGGGCCAGCACTCAGGAGGCTGAAACAGGAGGATCCCAAGTTCAAGACCGGCCCGGGCAATTTAACAATTTAGTTAAATTGTCTCCAAATAAAACATGTGAAGGCTGACGAAGTTGCTCAGCACTCTCTGGGTCTGAGCTCCAAGACTCAGCTCCCTCCTCCTACCACAGCAAAAAACAAACCAACAGACAACTATCAAAGCGGGTCACAACCTGAGCTTGTCTTTTGCATGTTTAAAGGAGGGTGAATCCACCTGAAGTACAGTTGACTGTTCACCATATTGAAAGGTAGAATCCACTTAGAACTTTCGCAGTGTTGAGAGCAACCCGACCCCTGGGAGAAGTGTGTTCCCCTCCGAGCCCCTCCTGCACCATCTGTGGGTTTCCCTTTTCTGTGCATTTCATATAAACCACATCAAACAAGGAGTGTCCTTTGGTGTCACCAATTGGTAGGGAATTTTGGGGTGATATCACACCAGCACCCCACAAGCCAGCAGAGAAAGAGAAGAAATGGAAACGAGACAGAGCCACATGTTCTCTACCTCCCCATCCCAGGAAGCAAGCTTGCTTGCCTCTTTGCTTGCTTTTTCAGTGCTGGGGATTGAACCCAGGGCCTTTATGCTGAGCTACATTTCCAGCCTCTACTATTTTTAATTTTGAGACAGGATCTTGCTAAAGTGCCCAGGCTGGGCTGGAACTTGTGACCTCCTGCCTCCACCTCCTAAATTTCTGTGGCTCCCCAGGAAGTTTTTGAGCAACTATTTTGCCAAGACATCAAGACACACAGTATTTCTCAGATTATTTCACAATCACGCAGAAACGCGTGCACACACACACACACACACACACACACACACACAAAACCCAAGAACATCAGTCTCTGAAAAACCACCTGAAAGACCCCAAAGCAGGGACCCGAAGCCCGTGTCAATCCCGATGACAATTCAATGCGCTATAAGGAAGCACCAGGCAGAGGGATCTAGCTAGGTTCAAGCCCCGGCTCTGGCCTTGGGCAGCTCACTTCCCTCTCTGAGTCACACCTACAGTATGACATGGTTCTCCCCCTTTTTTTTTTTTTTTTTTTTTTGGTTTTTTGAGACAAGGGTCTCGCTATGTAGTTGAGACTGACCTGGAACTCACTATGTAGCCCGGGCTGGTCTTGAACACACAGCGATCCTCCTGCCTCAGCCTTCCGAGTGCTGGGATTACAGCCATGCACCACCAGGTTCAGCTTTCTCCTTGAAATCATGCACTGCAAGGCCTCTACCCGGGGACTCACCTTTGACAGCATCAGCAGCACTGTGAATACCAAACTCATCCTGGACCCCCACTCACATTAAGGCCCATGCCTGTCACTCCAGCATCTGAGGAGGCTGAGACAGGAGGATCACCACAAGTTCAAGGTCAGCCTAACAAGAACCCGTCTCAAAAAAAAAGAAAAAAGTGAATGAATGAATGAATGGACCGATGATTTAATGGATAGGTAAATCAACTCTTTCAGTATATGTCCTGCCAAAGCCAGTGCACCGATAGGTAAATCAAAAGGTACATGGACAGATGCATAGATTAATCAGGTATGGGTGCGTAGATAATTGTATAAATAAATGGATGGCTGGATTCAAGTATAAATGGATGGATGGATGTTTGGCAGACTCTATAGAAAACACTTCACACACATTAAGTTCCTTTATTCATAGAGAGATGCCACGGGGAAGGAATACTATTTATAAACAAGGCACCAAGCTCCGGAAGTAGGGGAGATCACGTCCCAGTGCAGGTCTGTGTGGCTCCACGCCCTGGCCCTTAACCCCACGCATTCCACCACTGCTCCAGATGGATGCGGACCCCTCTGGGTCCCCAGGGACCACATGGCCCAGCCTGTCCCCCACTGTCTTCAGATGTCCACCGGCCATGACTCCCTCGGTCGAGTCCAGGGCACCTAGGGCCTGTGAGGTCTCTGCGTGCCTGTGTGGGTGTAGGGTGAGGGACCCGATGTCACATCTGTTCTCTTTGACCCTCATCACGGCCAAAGCAGCATCTAACGCACGCTGCTAAGGCATTCAGCCCACCCTGCCCCTGGGGACCCAGGCCCAGCGTCTGATGTGACAGTGGGTGGCCAGGGGGAAGGTGTGGGCGCAGAGGAGGAAGTGAAGGACAGGAAGGTGGTGGAGGGGGGCCGTGTCAGGGGCATCGACTGCCACTTGGAGCCCTAGGACATTGCCCAGCTGCTTCCGGGCAGAAGAGGGCAGGACGTAGCAGGGGCCAGGGGAAGGAGAGAAGGACCCAGAGTGTCCCCCCAGGGCGGAGCTGGCGCGGGCCTCCATCCTCGACTCCCAGGAGAATCCACAAGCAGGTGATGGGCCAGGGGCCGGCCGGCCTCAGCAGCTCTTGTCATCAGCCTGGATTTCGACGTAGGGCAGCCCCACGGGCCAAGAGTCCCGAGGCCAGTAGCGGACTTTGAGGGCCTGGCCTGGCATCTCATACTTGGCGTCCATCAAGGCCAAGGCGACCATGCCGTAAGGGAAGGTGATGCTCATGAGCACGTGCCTGTGGGGCGCAGGGGGAGGGTGGTGAGGGTGCAGGATGCCCCCCGGCTCTCCCCCAGCCTCTCCTGACCCGCGTGGATCTCAGCCACCCGAAGGGGCCTCAGGCCCAGGCCTCCAACTCCACCCTTTCCCCCTGCCAAGACTCAGTATCTAGATCTGCCGCTTTGGCTCCCTACCCCATCCCAGGCTCCTGCTCCAAGCTCCGGCCCCTGAGCTCCTCTGATTCCGGGGTTCCAGGGCTGGGGCTGGGGCTTACCAGATGCTGTGCAGGTAGAAGAAATGAATTCGCTGCCAGAAGCTGCAGAAGAGGTGGTCGCTGATCCAGCTGGCCAGGGCAGTGGCCCACAGAACCACCGACATCTGGATCATGTGCCGGAGCTGTTTGTTGCAGGTCCTGGGAGGGCACCAGGGACATGGGGCGGCTCAGACAGCAGTACCCGAAGGCGCTCCCGGGAATCTCCCTCCATCCGAGGTCGGGAGGACGGGAGGGGCAGGGCTTAAAGGTATCCGTGAGTTGGCCCTTTGGATCGTTTGGACCTGAAGTGTCCCCAAAACCCTGTGTTAGAGGCTATGCTGGGGGGAGGCAGTGGAACCTTTAAGAGGCCAGCCTGGTGAGCAGTCACTGCGCATTGAAGACCCTGATTGTTCACCTCTTTCCTTTTCACTTGCTGGGCATAGAGAGACAGGTAATGCCTTCCCGCCCCCCTGTGCCAACACAGATGCAAAGAGGTAGGACCATCCCAATTATGGATTGAGACCTCTAAAGCTGTCATCCGCCTTATACCTCACCCTTCTTTTGGAGGGGAAGGGTCTTGCTATGTTCCCCACCCTGGCTTGATCTCCGAGCCTCAAGCCATCCTCTCCCCTCAGCCTCCTGAGTAGCTGAGATCACGGGTGAATGCCGCCATGCCCAGCTTACCTTTCCTCTTTAGAAGTGGATCGACCTTAAGTCTTCATTACAGTAGCAGAAATCTGACTAACACAGTACCTGGTTTGTGCTTATAGCTAACACTTGCTAAGTATTTACAGGCCACTAAGTGGAGACATCAGCTCTGGTTAATGGTTACCAGTTGGATTTGACGATGAGTTTCCAGTTGGCTCGACCAGTGGTTTCTACCGGGATGGGCCATTAGTTTCCAGTTGGGTTGGCCAATGGTTACCAGTTGGGCTGGCCAGTGGTGTCTAATTGTCTTGGTCATTGGTTTCTAGTTCTCTTGACCAATGCTTACCAGTTGTCTTGGCCATTTGTTTCCAGTTGGATCAGCAGTGTTTTCCAGTTTGTTTGACCCCTATGGGACCCCAGCGGGAAATCAGAAGGTTGGAAGAGGGTACTTTTACGGGGCTTGTATCGGTCACCTTTCAGTTGCTGTGCCAAAATATGCTGACATACCCCACTTAGAGGGGAAAAGGTTTATTTTGCCTGAGGGAGTCAGAGGTTTCAGTCCACACTTGGCCGGCTCCAAGGCAGAAGCATCCTGGCAGGAGGGCCTGGCCGAGGAAAAGCTGCTCACCCCATGGCCAGCAGGAAGCAGAGTTTAAAAGACCCAGAGAGGAAGGAGGGGCAGAGACGAGAAAAGGAGGCTGGGAGTCACGGCTCAGTGACCTACTTCCTCCAACAGGCTCCGCCCCTCACAGCACACTCAGGTAGGAACTCAATGGACTCAGCCTTCGGTGAAGTTAGTGCCAGTGATCTAATCACTTTCCAAAAGCCCCACTTCTGAACGCATGAGCTTTCTGGGGACATCTTTTTGTTTTTCTTCAAACCCTAGCAGGGCCATCCTCTCTGCTGATAGGTATGTTTTTAAGGGTTTTATCATGAAAAGGACCCGCTCAGCAGTGAAACAGACATAGGTTCGAATCCTGACCCTGTCAGTCATGCACGGTGACTTGGGAAGAGACGTCCCTTCCAGGAGCCTGCAGTCAAGGGGACTCAGTTCTTGGAACATGAGAGGTACAGGGAGGTTCTTGAACTGGGGGATAGGCGGCCCCTCCCATGAGCATTTAGCCTTAATTGGGGTTTTTTCGTTTTTGGGGTTTTTTTTTGTTTTGTTTTGGTTTGGTTTGGTTTTTTGAGACAGGGTCTCACTATGTAGCTGAGACTGACCTGGAACTCACTGCGTAGCCCAGGCTGGTCTCGAACTCACAGCGATCCTCCTGCCTCAGCCTCCCGAGTGCTGGGATGACAGGCGTGCTCCACCATGCCCACCTCTATGTTGTTATGTTTTAACAGCACTGGGGATAAACCCAGAGCCTTCACACTGAACTCCATCCCTAGCCCTTCTTGTTTTTTATTTTGAGACAGGGTTTCTCTTGAGTCACTGAGTTGCCCAGGCTGGGGTCAAACTTGCAGTCCTCCTGCCTCAGCCTCCCAGAGTGCTGGGATTGCCGGCCCTGTGCCACTGCACCGACTTCACTCACTTCTTATATTCCAAGCGCACCACGTAGACAATGTGTATGGCGACGCTGTTGAGGGCGTACGCATTGACCGTGGGCCTCACGAAGGACAGGAAGGTGACGAGCACGGAGCCGCTGAGGATCATGCAGGCGAACTGAAACCTAAGCACATGCGCTCGGCTGTGGGTCGGGGAGGTCGGGGGTGGGGACTCTGTGGTCACCTTGGGGCCAGTGTGGGTGAGAAAGGGTCCTGGGCTTTCTCGGTAGGGTCCCGTGAGGTACGAGGAGCCCAGGCGAACACGGGAGCGGAGGGATAACGTGGAGAGGACCTCGGGGGGCCCGGGGCAGTGAGCAGAAGCTCTAGGGGCCAGGTGAGGTCAGGTAAGGGGTTCAAGGGAAGCCAGGTGGGCTCAGAGGAGGGATCCCCAAACGCAGCTGCATCTCGGGGGCCCCCATGGGCCTGGAGAGGCAGGAGTGCCAGGGTGGTGGGGGAGAGGGGCTCCGCGAGGCCAGCTGGGTCAGGAGAGATCCCTGGGGTCCGCAGGGGACGGGAACCTCGGGGGCGCCGCCTCACCTGCTGCCCCTGACGAAGGCGGGGAAGTTAGAGGGTGCAGTAGATGTAGCGGGTGCGCCTCTCGATGTAGGACTGCAACAGGAACGCCATGAGAGGCCCGAAGATCAAGAAGGTGATGTTGCTGAACTGCAGGGGAGACAGACACCCGGGGGCTCTTGCACTTGTCACCCGGGCCGGCGGGGGACGCCGCCTCTCGCCCCAAACCTAGCCGTCGTAGCAATGCGTTGGGCAAGGGTGCAGTAGATGTAGCGGGTGCGCCTCTCGATGTAGGACTGCAACAGGAACGCCATGAGAGGCCCGAAGATCAAGAAGGTGATGTTGCTGAACTGCAGGGGAGACAGACACCCGGGGGCTCTTGCACTTGTCACCCGGGCCGGCGGGGGACGCCGCCTCTCGCCCCAAACCTAGCCGTCGTAGCAATGCGTTGGGCATCAATCAACCCCTCGGATACCATTATTCTACGGGTTCATTGACTCACTCAGAGGGCAAAGACAGACAGACCGCTGGCCTTCTCTCTAGGGCCCGCCTTTCCTCGTTGGGAGGAAGCGCTTTGTATCCATTAGTTCCAAAACCGTCCACTGAACCAATGCAGATTGAAAACGTTCTGAACGTAGCCCGACAGATAAATGGATCAACTAGATCATAAAGAAGGATAAGCTTTGTTTTGTTTTGTTTTTAAGGCAGGGTCTCACTCTGTAAATCGGGCTGGCCTTAAATTCACTATGTGGCCCAGGCTGGCCTCAAACTCAAGGTGACCCCCCTGCCTCAGCCTCCTGAGTGCTGGGATTATAGGTATTCGCCACCAGGCCCGGCCATGAAGAATAAAGGTGAGTTATTTTCAGGTTAGGTGAAGGAACCACTGAGCTCAAAAAAAAAAAAAAAAAAAAAAAAAAAAAAAAAAAAAAAAAAACCAAGTCCCCCAAATGTAAAGACCTGATTCAAAAATGGCCATCCGAAATGAACAGACATTTCTCAGACAAAGAAATAAAAGCAGCCAATAAACATATGAAAAAATGTTCCACATCCCTGGTCATTCGAGAGATGCAGATGAAAACAACACTGAGATTCCACCTCACCCCAGAAAGAATGGCTATCAAGAAATCAACCAATATTAAATGTTGTTGGGGTTGTGGGGAGAAAGGAACCCTGCTCCATTATTGGTGGGAGTGCAGACTGGTGCAACCACTGTGGAAATCAATTCCCACGCCAGGGAAACTGCGGTATTTAAACACATGTGTCCAATTTATTTCACTTAAGAGTACGGTCTCCAGGTCCATCCATTTAGCTAGAAATGTCCGAGGCTCACCCTTCTTTACGGCAGAGTAGTACTCCAGTGTATAGAAAAAACACATCTTCTCTATCCATTCATCAGTTGACAGGCGTTCGTGCTGTTTCCAAGATGTAGCGTTTGCAAACTGCCTCTATATACATAGGTGAGCATATACCGCTGTGGTAGGATGCTTTGAACTCTCTTGGGAAGAAGGGGAATAGCTGGGTGGAATGGAACCTCTAACTTTTGTGAGAAATCCCCACATCCAGCCAGGTCAGTTCTTTCTTATTGTTGTTTTTCCTTTGTTCTTTTGGTACCAGGGATTGAACTCAGGACCTTGTGCTTGCGAGGCAGGCAGAGGCATCACTGAGCTAAATCCCCAGCCCTTTTGATTATTATGGGGGCGGGCACTGGGGATTGAGCTCCAGACCTTGCACTTGTGAGGGAGGCAGCGGCACCACTGAGCTAAATCCCCACCCTCAGGGCAGTGCCTAAGGAGCCATTTCTGGCTTGCTTTCTAGGGGTCTTTCTCCTTCCAGCAGGCTGAAATGCAGACAGGTGGTGGAGAGTTGGCCTTTGCTTTGTACACAAGGGAAGATGATTCAATACCCTAATGATTCACTTTTAACAAAAACAGCAGGAAGCAAAAGTGAGGTTGTGTGACGTCTCGGGTTAGATCATAAAAGGGACTGCTGCTTCCACCTGATCCCCTCTCTCTCTCTCTCTCTCTCTCTCTCAATGGGGATGGAACCCAGGGGTCACCTCCTACAGCACTGCACCCCCAGCTACTCCCCCCCTGCCCTCTTCTTTTACATTTTGGGACAAGAGATCACAAACTTGCTCAGGATGGCCTTGGACTTTTGATCCTCTTGCCTGAGTCTCCCAGCTACCTGGGATTACAGTCATGTGCCGACATGCCCAGCCCACATGATTTTATTACTCTCAGAACATGAGATTTTGCAGTCCTGAGCCACCAAGATGGCAGCCTGGCTGTACTTAAGTCGATTGTTGTGGAGAAACTACATCTCTACGCTAGGGAGAGATGCTGCAGCGAATCTGTTCTGACCTCAGACATTGGACTTTTCTCCAGCTCAGCTGCTGTGCACGAGGAGCAAAACCTCGATGGATTCCAGCCCCAAACCATCCTGCAGCTGGTTCCTAGTAGAGCTCAATGAGCCGCTCCTGCCAAGCCCGCCCTGATTTAGGAGCCATGTAAAATCTATCATTGTTTTCAAGCTACTAACTTTTAGAATGACTTGTTATGCAGCCTTCACAAGCTGAGACTAAAAGTAAATATATTAGAACCCTAAACCTAACCCCTAACCCTAACCCAACAAAACAATAAATAAAAGGAAATATATTATTGTGGGCTGAGATGGCTGGTGAAGGAGGAGGAGAAATAGAGGCCAGAGGACAGGATTGCACCTGCCCAGAACCCCCTGATTACACTGTTGCTGCTTGATAAGGTTATCTGAGAGCTAATTACCTGTCTCCCTATAATTAGATACCTACTGTATTCCAGGTCCTGGGAGAAGTTTATTATCCCCAGAGTTTTGTCTCATCCTCAGAATAACATTATAGGTTCTCAGCTAGGTGTAGCAGCACATGTCTGTAATCCTAGCACTCAGGAGGCTGAGGCAGGAGGGTGACCAGGAGTTCGAGGGAAGACTGAGACAAACAGTGAGTGTTCAAGGCCAACCTGGACTATGTAGCGAGGTCCTGTCTCAGAAAATAAAAGTAGAATGAGCGGCCACTTCATCCAGCTCCATCATTAGCTAGTAAGTGAAGTATCCACGATTTGAAACCAGAGCCCAAAAACTTGCTCTCTTTTTCCTTCCATCCTTCCTTTTTTTTTTTTTTTTTTGTATTGGAGATTGAACCCAGGGTCTTTGCCCCAACTATATACCCAGCCCTTTTTTATTTTTTATTTTGTGACAAAGCCTCACTAAATCACTGAATTGCCCAGACTGAGTTTGAACTTGTGATCCTCCTGCCTCAGCCTCCCGTGTGCTGGGATGACAGGGGTGCACTGCCAAGCTTAACCTTCATATATCCATTTTGTAGGACACTGGGGATAACTTATGCCTCAGGTCTCAGTCCTACCTTCCCTGAAGGCCATGTCCTCCTGTGGCCTGAGCAAAATTTGGGTCTATTCTACAAAAGAGAAATGATGGATCTATAATTTAAAGCATTGGCTCAGTAAATGTAGCTAAGATCTAAAGTAAAAATGGTTTCATGGAGTATGAACATTGTCTTTCTTACATAAAATCTAATCATAAACTTTCAGGGCTGGGGGATTTAGCTCAGTGGTGCTGCTGCCTGCCTCACAAGTGGCAGGACCTGAGTTCAATTCCTGGTACAAAAAAAAAAAATTCAGGGTTGGTGTACAAGTTCTCTGGTGCCAGGAACCCAGGATCCTTCTCTATGATCGCTTTGCCATCTCAAAGCCACTGTCCTCAGCTGTATGGTCCAAGAAATTACCTCATCACATCTGCGTTCCAGCAGAAAGTGGGTAAGAGCGAGGATACATCCTTTCCCTTTAAGAGCATAACCTCGGATGGCTATTGCACTCACACCCCATTGGCTAGCACCTAGTCACATGACTGTGTGTAGCTGCAAGGGAGTCTGGGAAATAACTGTGCTATTATGAAAGAAAGCAGAGAATCAGAGTGGCTTACACTGATTGCTATCCACTGATACTAAACCAAGTCACTGTTTGGTTAAACCAAAAAGGGAGGTTGAAGCAGTCCATCTCCACTCTATGTTCTAACTGCAATATTTTTATAGTTTTATCACCTTGAGTTACTAGGTCATTATCAAACAATTGTCACCTGTTAAAGAATTTCTGTGGTTATCGTAAACAGAATTCTGATCCATCTCATAAGAAACACCCTAATAAAAAAGAAAAACAACAACAACAACAACAAAAAAGATCCCATCAAGAAAGAAAAAGAAAAAAAAAATGACTCCGAGAACTTTTGTGTAGCTGAATTACATCAGTCAAGGTTGATGGTATTAAAATTTGTTTGTTTGGGGGTTTGGGGGGGCTTTGGGGGGTACCAGAGATTGAACTCAGGAACTTACACTTGTGAGGCAGTCAGTGGAACCATGGACCTAAATCCCTGGCCCTGTTTTTTGTTTTGCTTTGTTATGAGGCAGGATCTCACTATGTAGCCCAGGCTGGCCTTGAACTCATGACGATCCTCCTGTCTCGGCCTCCCAAGTGCTGAGACGACAGGTATGCACCACCGTGCCTGACGATGCTATTAAAATTTGAAACCAAGAAAATGTAAAAACATACAACTCCACAAGTATCCCTTGGCCACCAGAGACAGTATCTGTCCACATACTGTAGCGTCTGGAGAAGTCTGCAGCACCCTCCTGGGGAAATTAGAGAAAAGATAGAAAATAGTAACTCCATGTTACTGTGAAAATAACTTGGACTGCAGGAAACGCCCGGGAAGGGCCTCAGAAATTCCAAGGCGCCCTGCACAATACTTTGAGAATCCCAAGTGTAAGAATAACGGAGCAGAAAGATGGAAAGAAAAAACAGTTCTTGAGTTACTGAGTTATTCCAGAACCATCTACTGCTAGACTTCTGTTTTTTAGAATGAAGATGTCTTTTCTGTTTAAGCCATTTTTAGTTGAGTGGTCCCGCAGTCTCTGGGACGCTCTCAACTCCACTCACAGCGCACCTGCAACGCCCAGGAGCCAAGCCAAACTGGCAGACGGCTGATCAGTGCCTTCCCTAGTAACTCTCTTGCCACCCTGATGGGCCCGCAAAAACCCCTGTGGAAGGGCAGGGGCCGTCTTCGCACCCTCTGATCACTCCACTTGCTTTGTCTCTGCACTGGGGTGGAACCCAGGCCCTTCATGTGGAGCCTTTTTCTTTCATTCTCTCTCTCTCTCTCTCTCTCTCTCTCTCTCTCTCTCTCTTTGGTACCAAGGAATCAAACTTAGGACCTCGCACTTGCGAGGCAGGCCGCAGAACCAATGAGCTAAAATCTGGCTGCCTTTTTCTCTTTTGAGATATTGTCTTGCTAATTGCCTAAGCTT